AATGGGCATGTAAACTACAGTAAAACATCTGTCTAAAACGATATTATGTGATTCCATTTAATACAGATTTTATTATATTTTTTTAAAGTTTAAGGTGATGGAAGATGTAGACTTATTTTGCATTTTGATACTCCTACACAGTTTAATTCTAGTTAAAACACTTGCGATGTAAATAAACTTACATTACGTTATCTCTGTTTACTTATATAAAATATTTAAAAAAAAATAGGTTTACATATATATTATACAAACTTATATAAATTGTGTAGGAATGTATGATTTAATGACCTATTCTAAACTTATTTTTAAATATAATTTTCATATTTAATTATCATTAAAATTAATTGCTTACCAGACAAAATAAATAAAAAAATACAAAACAAAATTCTCTGTTTTAAATTGTTTTAAACTAATAATTAATCTCATAATGTAGTAATAATTCTTAACAAAAATGAATGACTTTATTTTTTTTTATTAAATTTATCTCATTAATTTTATTTTTAATATCCTATATTCAATGTATTCTGTCTAAACATAATGTATTTATATTATGAATAATTATAAAATTCTCTGGAATTAGTTTCGGCAATGATAAAGAAACTTAAAGTAGATTTATAGCAGTTAATGCAATTCTAATGAGATAGACTAACTTCTGTTTGCATATCTTGCTGTTACAAGTCTGATTTACAGCATTTCTTATAATACATTCTTTTTTTAGAGTCTTATTTTACAGCATTGAAAACTTCACACAAATATGTACGAATGAACTTTGAACTACACTTTATGAGTAAATAACCAATTGAATTATTTTAATTGTTATAACATTTCCCTTAACTTAAGATTATGAAAATATTTCACCTATTTTAGCATTAGTTTAGAAAATTAGCATTGAATGCTATTTACTTTTGAATTTTATATTATATGAGAATGTTTTTAATGTGAATTTTTTTCTCTCTTATAAACTTTTTTGTCTGATAATTTATCTGTGTGCTTTTATTATAAAAAGAAATTTTAATACATTGAAAAATTAACCATTCTATTCTGATAAATCAACTGTAATTTTGTATTTCTAAAAGATTTTTTAAGGCATGTTTCATCGCATTAATGTCTTAATGATGTTATTTAATTAAGTAGAAATTACAATGAATTAATTAAAATAAAATAATCATATTCAGGAAGTTTTTGCGAGGCCTCAGGAAAAAGTTGTTATTGAGGCCCCAAAATATTTGCAGAAAAGAATTTTTTTTTTTTTAAATAGAAATTTGAAAGTGTAAGGAAGGCCTCACGTTGAGACCCGAAAAACTGACGCCTGAGCCGGCCTTGGTCATATTTAAATCAAATTATTAAAAATCTATCATAATTATAAAACAACTTATAATAAAAACAAAACAATTAATAATTTATTATTTTAAATAAAATTTTATCATTACTCCTTTACATAAAATTTTATCTTTATTTATCGTTTATTAAGCTCAGTAATTATTTTCTTTATTTTGTAATTTTTTTTTCTTATTATTACAAAGTCAATATGTATATACAGACTAATGTAGTCCGGGTATATAAACAGAAGTCAATGGAAAACACGTGTCTCGAAAACCAGTGATCAGTGACGTAGATAATATAACCATTGTGACGTCATTGTTATGGAAAAGGCAGGTGACGTGTCTATATTGCAAGACAGGACCACACATGCAGCTAACTCGTAGAATTGTCACTAAAGAACTTCCTCGCTTCATTGCCTGTCGTCACGTGACTCGCGACAGGAAGTTATTGACCAAAAAAGAAAAAAAAAAAGAGGGAGAAAAACATAAAGAGAGGAAACCCCTTCTATTACTAATTAGACCTACTCAATTTTTAATCTAGAGACAGCTATATCATGAAAAAAATAATAACAAAAAAAAAAGAAAAAAAAACCTGTTTAATACCAATTTCTCAAAATCTAAGATGGAGTAATTTATACTTTTATCGGATGAAGTGGATTTATATGAAAGATGCCGACAGGAATTTCGCTCCGGTAATTTCGGACACAATCTTGTGACAATCTTCGAGTAAGAGTAGAAGCCCGGGGAAGATGTGTTATCTGTTAAGAGGGTAATCTGAACCGTTGTATTTGCCAAAAACACCTGTTTCTACCCCTTTCAATAATTGTACATCTGTTTTCTTACCACGAAAACATTTGGTTTGGTAAATGTAGTCTTATTATATGAACTGCAATGCTTTTTGGAATTGTAATTTGAAGATTGTGAGATAGTATGGTTGGGGAACGTGCACTAAAATAAACTTTACCGTGTCATAATTATAAAAGAAATGTGATCCCTTCAATTCTATTTTCTTTTGATCATTTATAAAAATAAACCATAAAGTGAAAGCGCATTGTTGAGATTAAATATGATTTCTTGTAGTAATGAGCGCTTTTATACTTTTCACTAAAGGTTGACGTTTTACAAATGATTCACTTTCCTGTTTTTAGTAAGTGAATTACGTATCAACTGCACAATACTCATAGAATAATACAAGTATGTATGTGCTGTAGATTATAAATCAATACGATTCAATGCTACAGACTGTTGATATGGTCGAGAATATAGAGAAGATATAGAGGAGACTATTGTCCTGTACAAGAAAGGGGGAACGACGGGGAGGGGCTGACGGTAGCGAGTCCAAGGACCACCCTTAAGTTGCGGACCACCCACGTTGTATCACTAGCCACGAGAAAAGATTTACACTCCTTAGCACAGACCATATCAAATCACATCATCTCCCTTTTTCAATGTCCAGTTGTCCAAATCTGTCACGTAAAAGACCACCAGGTGTTGACCCACCGATCATATTCAAATATTTTAGTGTCAAGGTTCGTCTCTGCAAGAAATTTTGATACCAGAGAGGATCCGATATCTCTCTTCGGTGTCAAAACTGCTTAAGCGGAGCCACTTGAAAGATAAAATTATAAATAGAAGAGATATTTTACAATTGATAAAAATTTGTACAGAGAAGCAAACATGGCGTTGAAAAAAGTAGCAAAAATGATAAAGTGTACCACACACACTATCCATGGGAAGATTTATTTTGGATGCGATATTTATAGAATTGTAAGGAAAAGTTGGAAAAATAGCAATGTGTAAACACTGTGTATTTTCAGGTTAAACATATTTCTCACGATTTTTTTTTTCTTTCTTAAGGATTTCTTTATAATTCTCACGTTTCCATGTAATGTTTTCAGTCTGTATTATGTCTAGTTTTATACGCGAAAGCATTTTTTACGCGTCCAACGAAATAACATTTTAAATTGTTTAGATTGAAGCTGACACGCTACCAAAAATGATTCTGAACTTTGCCGTATAGTAATTTTTAATTTACACTTCTCAGATAATCTTCAGTTTACGTTATTGATGATAGAAAACCGAAGTATTTCGTAGCTTGATGCATTAAGCACCAGACTCGATGCTGATTGACAAGGAAACTGCAATGCAAAGAGAGAGGAAAAAAAAAAAATGTTTAGTTACAGTGTGACGCATTCCATAAGCACGATCGTATTACAGTAACAGAATGCCTCTAAATAAAAATTATTCGTTTGTTCATACATCAAATACTTATATCGATAAAATAGTCTTTTTTTTCCCCCTTCCTCGTAAAAAATCCTATGCATTTATTTATTTAAAGTGACAAATTTTTCGAAATGTTGAATTATTTCTTTTCTTTTTCGTATTTCTCCTATCATTTTAATCTATAAATTTACTATTTTAATTTTATTTTATAATCAATTCGGATTTCATTACATCAAATTTTACATCTAAAATGTGATTGATTTTCTTCCAGAGTTGCTTATTATAGAAAGTTCCATTTGTAATAATTGTTTATAATTGAAATAAACACACAAAATTTTTGTATTCAAGAAGCACATTTTTAAATATTTAATTGAGTACTTTTTATTTTAATTTTTATCATATTTACAGAGTTTTTCCCCCTTGCATGACTTAAATTAATATTTACTTTTTTAATTCTATTCTGTACAAGTTACTCAATAATGACGTCACAACAAAAAGAATTTAAAATGTGCGTGTTTAAATAATACTTTTAGCTTATATTTTCTTCATTAAGACAGTCAAATAAATAGTAAAATAAACAATTTATATTATATTATTATCCACTTGTATACATTGTTATAGTATGCTTAGGCTTATGTATAATCTAATGTTCAATAATAATATTTTTGTATACCTATCTGCCACAATATGACTCTAAGTCTGTGTACAGTACCTTTATAACAATATTCATTAGAATACTATCTACAATAGGCTTCAGTACTTGTTATAGGTAATAGCTTATATATAAAATATAAGGATACATTGAGTAAAATAATTTATATTTAAGTAGATTTATACTGACCTTTGTACAAACTTAATCAGTATTCTCAGAAAAGTTATCAAGATTTGAATGTGTAATATTAAATTTTTAGAAGGGTTATACTGGTATTTTGAATAGATAAATGTTTATCTTCAACTAAACCTGAACATAAGCAAACACATATTTATCTACACTGTTTAAAATTAGATTGTATGTTTACATCCTTAACTAAAATTTATTTTATGTTGTATAAGTCGAGTAGGCAGATTATTTTTGTTATTTTAATTATAAAAATTTTAAGATTTTAAAATGATTTTTACATTAAAAATAAACATATTATTATTATTATTTTAATGTAAAACTATTTAACAATTTTATAACTAAGTTTTTAAACTTTACTAAATACTTTAATAAATTACTTATTTATAAATATTAATTACAATAACAATACATAAATTAAATAACAATTATTAAATATTTTATTATTAATCTCAGATGTAAGTTTTGGAATTTTTTATATTTTAAAGCTTTTCAATTTGTATTTTTTTTTTTTATTAATAAATATTTTAAACAGTTTTATTAGAAAGTAAGTAGGGTCTAATTTGTAGTTTATATATAATATTCTGTGGTATTATTTCGAGATTTTTTTAAAACAGTTCAGAAGAGAAAACATGGAGATTCCACCAGAGTACAGAGAGAGAGCGAGAAGTGTCAGGTTTTCAATGGTACCAGAAATCATAAAATTTACTCCTGAACTGGCAATTAAAGAAGAAGAGGAAGAAGAAGAGAAGAAAAGCAAATTGAAGTTAATACTTCAAGATAAAATTTTACCACACATGAAAATAATTATAACATTAATTTTGTTACTCCTCTTCATAATTGGCTTAAGTGTTTACCTCTTCTTGCATATGAGACATATCAAAATAGGTATTCATAAACAAGCTCAAGAATTTCCTAGTGATAACTGTGACGTTGAAGTATTTAGACTTCCTTCGAATGTGATGCCAATTCATTACGTTCTAGAGATTCAACCAGATTTGGATAATTTGAATTTTAGAGGGAAAGCAGACATTCATTTAAACTGCTTTCGTAATACAAGTAAGGTGACATTACACGCTGTAAACTTAACAATAAAAGATAATGATGTCAAGATGATTTCTGCAAGTAATTCGAAAGACGTCAACGAATTATTGAATTTAAATATTACCAATGATTTATTGACATTATATTTTAAAAACGATTTAGATGAAGACGTTAAATATAATTTAACTATTGAATATTCTGGAATTTTAAGTAATACTAATTCAGATTTTTATACATTCTCATCGACTAGTGAAAATAGGTGAGTGCCATTTAGTGGATATTAATTACAATTAAATAATTTTTGGTGTTAAGGATAATATTGCGGAGGATTTTCTTTCTTTTTTTCATACAAATTTTGAAGTGTACAAATAAGTTGGAGTCGCGAGTCACGAAGCGCTAAAGATCAAAGACTTACACTTAGTCTTCATTAAACGTGTTATTAAACTTAGTTCAAACATGTCACGGAAATGATTTTCATGTAAATTGATTGGAACAATTGGCGTGAAATTAGCACAATTCAGCACAACTTTTCTCTCCAGATAACACATGACTTTGAGTGCACAGTCCCGTAGGATCGCCTTTTGGGTTGATTTTTTTTTAATGTCATCTGCCCATTTTTTAAATTCTGACCGTCTAAGAGGATCTTTCTGCTTATGCCCATCCGGCTAAGCTCACAATGGGGCTTAACTCCACGTTAACGCCAGCCCAATTCCATTGTCGAACTAACCAGACCCACGATAATATGGAAAAAAAAAAGGCTTCAATGCAATCCTGGGGCCTGACTTAACCATCCATTTCCCGTGCCATAAAAATGACAATCAACGCAGATTAGAATCCGGAACATGGCAAGTCAGTGTTTTATGACCTCTTCAAATTGCTTTGTTTTAAATTATCAGTTTCTTACTTAGTTAAGGCATATTTGTTCATTTATTTCGCAAACATTTCCGAAACAGTTAAACATTCTCTTATCTAAGAAATCATTTTTTGGACGGAATCTTTGCCTTAGTAGCCTAAAAATTAAGCAATTCCACCAGTAACGGAGTGGATAAAACTACTGAACACTAGTAGTTGGATCCTTGACAGCCGGATGACCCAAGCGGTTAAGGCATCGGCTACCACTCAAGAGGATCGGGGAACGAATTCATTCGAAATACCCCAGGAATTTTTCCAGGAGTGGTTTGTTCCAAATATGTCAGATCCCGTCCCTCACCACCCGTGTTCCCATTGCAGGCCTGACCGAACTTCTGATGAGTATGATTTAATTAAAAAGATTCTCTTAAAAGCGTTCTGGAATAAGCAGTAATTTGATTTATATATCGGTTTAAGTTGCGGTCACGTGGAAGGGAAATGATTATGAAATCCTCTTTACTGCGTGCATATTTGTCCCGTTAAATTGATATTTGTGTAATGTAAAACTTCAAAGATAGATGGCGACACGAAAAATATTTCAGTTTCATATCCTTTTTTTTTTCCTTAATTTAATAAATTTTTTGATGTTAAATAAAAAGTTTACAATTAATTGACTTGTATTAAATTATTTTAAAATTTTTAAATTGAACTAAATATAGATTTACTTCTATATATTAATATAAATTATGCTATTCATATACTGTATGAAAGTATTATAAATATATTTTTCAGAACTTTTAGGATCATTACTTTTTCTATTCTTTAGTTTAAAAATCAAATAATTATTTTATTCTTTCCTAATACTAAATTATTGAATTTAGTACTGCTTTTACTCCATACAAATTTGTTTCTGGAAGAAATGCATTCCCATGTTTTGATGAACCTCATATAAAAAGCACTTTTGATATTATTTTAATCAGAAAGAAAAACACTATTTCTTTATCTAATATGCCTCATTTAAACAAAGAACCCAGGTAGAAAAGTAAATTCATTGTTTATCAGAATTGATAATATATTTTCTAAATAATAAAATATATATTTTTTTCTTTTAGAGGAAACTTTGTTGCTGACATTTTTCACAAATCTATAAATATGTCAGCTTATTCTGTGGCGTTTTTCTTTGGTAATTATGCTGGAAGAGCTTATGACAAGGTTAAAAATATTTCTAAAAATATCATTTCTAATTTTAATTAACCCCCTCCCTTCCTTCCATTATGGACATCATTTATGGACAGCCCCTATGATAATTTTAATTATGTTTCATGAAACTATGATTATAAAATATTAATGATAAATCTTGTAATATATCAAAATATATTAATGATAAATTTATATTTAATATCTTATCATTGTTTTAACTTATTTGTTTCAATAGATTACTGTATGGTGTCTTCCAAATGAACAATCAATGACAGATGATGCTCTTGCTGTATCAAATAAAGTATTAAAATCATTAGAAAATATAGTAGAAATTGTATTTGAATTATCTAAATTGGGTTAGAATATTAAATGTTTTCAAATCTAAACTTTTATTGATTTCATAAATTTAATATAATTTAAAATTTTTAATTACAGATCTTGTTCCATTACATTTAGATAAAGTAAAATTTCCATCCAAACAAAATTATGGATTAATATTTTATCCAAAAGAAATTTTTTTGAATAATAAAAATCAAAGAAATTTGGAAAAATATGAAACATTATATTCAATTATGGCCTTTCAGATATCACAACAGGTATAAAATTTGAATAATGTATTTGTAATTTACTATCTGATGTACCGGTACATATAAATGAAGTGTTTGATAATTTTTATATAAAATTTCAAATTTCAATTTATTTGTTAATGCTGACATACAGTATATACCGTATTTTCCGGTGTATAAGATGACTTTTTAACCCAGGAAAATCTTCTCAAAAGTCAGGAGTTGTCTTATACGCCGGGTGTTGTCATATATGACGAGTATATCTCAAACTCTATATTTTAACTGTAAAAGTTGGGGGTCGTCTTATACACCGGAAAGTATGGTATATTGCAATCTCAGTTTTCTTTTGCTGATATACAGATATATATATATATTTTTACTTTATTTCAGTGGTTTGGAAATTTAATATCTTTGAGTTGGTGGAATGATATATGGATAACTGAAGGAATTTCAACTTTTATGGAATACACATTACTGTCACATGAATTTCTTCATTGGAATAATGTATATTTTTGTTTAAAAATTTTGTAAATATATTCAGAATTTATGAAATATTTTAAACTTTTTAAAATATATTTTATTTTCATTAAAACATTTATTTTATTCTTATTAGAATTAAATCATAAATTTATGTACTGATAATATCTATTATTACTGTAATAAGTATGGTAATCATATAGTAAATTTGATAATTAAATAATAAACATTTACATATTTAGATTGATCCTATTATTTATTATGCAAATATGGCTAGAATGGAAGACTGTACCAATAATGAGATAAAATCTTTATCAAAAATTGAGTACAAGTGCAAAGATGTTGGAATACAGGACTATTTACAGTACAACAATATTTTAAGAAAAAAGGTATTTCAATTGATTATTTACATATTATTTTATGATAATTAATTAAATATTGTGAAAATGTGTATATTAATGCATTACTTTAATTCGCTATTTTATAAAGATATAAAAAGTAAATGTAAATGAATATAATAATTTATTTCATATTTTTATTAGTATTTACAGCAGAATTAAATATCTAATTTTTTGACCAAATCCAATTCACTGTAAAGAAACTTTCAAACCTGATAAATAAGAAATGTACAAATTAATTTATTTAAAACAATTTTTTTTTTAATTTTTAACTTATTTTATAAAATCCAAATCTCAAGTTTCGGTAATTCTCTTTATTCTTATACTTTTTGGAAACCAAATTTATGATGAATAATCAAAATAGATTTTATAAATTATATAATTTAAATTTATTTATTACTTTACCATATTTTAATAAGCACACTTAATAAAACATTAAATGAAATTTAAACATTAAGAAAATTAGAAAAATATCTTGAAAGGGTCAATGATTTTAAAATCCAGATAGCTTAAAATCAGGACAAGGATTGACCTCAAGCTATTTAAATGTTTTAGATTTTTTTCTTATATAGTTAATTGCTTGGAAAATAAATGAAATCTTATATCTGTTTTATAATTTTTCATAATATATTTTATTAAGATTGTATTTATAAAAGAAGTAATTTGATTTTAAATGGAAATAATAACAGTACATATTAACAAATAATAGTAATATATTTAATTACTGTATTTTACAGCATATGAGATATATTTCTATTTCAGTACAAAATATTTAGGAAAAAGTATTTAATGTATTTAAGCCATCCCTTGTTTTTGACACTTGACATCAATTTTTTTTTTTAATGGTGTTCCGGTTAAAACAAAAAATGTAAAATTAGAATGCACACTTTTATTTATCAGGAAAAGCAGTTTAAAAGTAGTCATTTACCATTAAAATATTCTTCATTAATACATGTAAAAGCAGTTTAGCTGTAATAAAACAAATAATAATAATTATTATAATTATAAATGTTTAATTAAACAATAACATTTTTATTCAAGAGTCAAGTTATGTAGAAGTTATCTGTTTAGAACAAAAGTCAAATCTTTTATGCCATAAAATATGATAATTCAGTTCTATATTTTTTTTATTAAATTTTTATTAGTAAAACATATTAAAAGTGCTATAACAATATATATTAAAAGAGTCATTTATATTTAGAGTGCAGCTGTTATTCGAATGGCACAATACGTAAATGGAAACGGGACATTTTGGAGTGGAATAAAGGTATTTCTGTAATGCCAAAAATTTTTTGTTATATTGTATTTTAAATAAAAATGTATTTATATAATTTGTTAAAAACTGAATAATATTTTTTTATTATGAAATTTTATAGAAATACTTAAATACTTCTGATAAAATAAATAAAGAAGAAAAATTTTGGAATTCTCTTTCACCTGTAATTATTAAACAATTTAATAAATTAAAATAGTATTATAACTATAATTTTATAAAAGTGATGCTTTTATTTTTAATTAGAAATATTTCAATTTTTTTGAAAAGATGAAGTATTGGACACATTTGGCAGGAATGCCAATTTTAACAGTTAAAAGACAATATAAGAAGCATTCAGCATTTTTATCACAAGTTTCTTGCAGGGAAAAATTAGAAGACTATAAATAGTAATTAGTGATATATATATAGTTATGTCTATCTGTTTTAATACAGTTATATAAGTTATTATCATTTGCTTTGTATCTAGTAGAATTTGTTGACATCTTTATGGATTACTTGATCCACTTTCACCTAGATTTGTCTATTAAGTCAACCATTATGACAAATCTAGGTAAAAGTAGATTGAGTAACCCATAAAAATGTCAAGTTATATAAGTTTATTCTAAGTATAGGATAAATCAGTACTAAATAATAATAATATTCATAAATGGAGAAACTGAACAATATTAATATAGTAATTATAAAAACTGAGCAAAAAAAATCTTTTGAATGCTAAAAATTCTCTGAAATTTATGAGGAAACTAGTCTAAGACTTAAATGAATATTATTTAGAATTAAGACTAAAGTTTTACTCTCTTTTTTAATTAAATATGATATTAAATCTACAGTAGTTCAAATTGGCCTTCTTTAAGCTAACCATAAGTACAATACTGTTTTGCTCTAACATGTTGGAAAATTGGGGATCCCTCCATACAAAACAGTTTCCAGTTTTATTCTAACATAGTTTGGGAAATTCTCTGTACAAAATTTCACAATTTTTAAGTGCAAACTTCATTAGTTGATATTTTTTATTCAAGTAAGCATATGTATTGTCTCAAATTTGCCCATGGATTTTAGAATATTGAAATTTTCAATTTGTTCTGTGCCTTTTGTCAGGTTTATTTTAATGAAAACTGATAGTACAATTTTTCTCTTTCTTGTCCTAGCTTTCCTATCAATCAAGTACAGTGCCGGCCCAAGACAAGTTTTAGGATGGAGCGAGATTCTATTATGGCGCCCCCCTTGGTTGCCCCTAATTTATACATTTAATTTTCTTTACCACTTAGGCGCCCACTAGGACTTAGCGCCTGGAGCGGCTGCTCCGTTCGCCCTATGGTAGGGCCGGCTCTGATCAAGTATTGTCATTGCTTTCAGACTTTAGCCCTAAGACTGTTATTATGTTTTGTTTTCGGAGATTAATCTTTGTTTTATTTTTCTTCATCTATATCAATTAGACAAATAGGCCTATACTTGAAATATATATCATCGGTATGATAAGCCCTCAAGTATATTTGTCTAATTGATGTAGACTAAGAAAAATAAAACAACATTAAAGCAATAGATTATTCAATTGAATTCATCTTTGTATTTAGTAAAGTTTATTTAAACATTTTTAGGTAAGTGTTATTAAACTATTTTAACTGCAGGTAAGTAATTATTAGTAAAAATGACATGAAATACACTGGTATCTCAGTACTCAAACTGTTCCCAACTCCAACAATTTGGTATTCGAACACAAATTCTGGGAAAAGATCACTCTGTACTTGACTGAACAAATGCGACCTTCTAGAACAAATTTTTGATTAATAACATATTTTTATTTTGTCATTCATAAAAGTTATGATAAAAATAAAAAATGAAGATGTTGCTGATATTTCTGGTGATCAACAAAAAAGCTCAAAACATGATGATACTTTGTAAAAAGAAAATGCCCTCATTTAACTAAAATTAATATTAATGTGTAATACAGTCCTTTTATTGTGATTGTTAATTATTGATTGGAAATAAATTATTGATTATTTGTTTATTAATAATATTATTAATAAACATACATCTCTTAGTAACTAATGAAAAAGAATAGTATACTTTTGCTAACTTCTGGAACCTAATCCTGTGTTTTGCATTACTCCTTTGTTTCGTATAGTACAAATTTGCATAACATGGCACTTTTTTAGAATGTAACTACTGTGTTATACGAGGGATACCTGTACTTAGGATTAGTTTTATTTGAAATTATATTACTAATGAATGTATTTTGATAATTAATCTTTAAATTAAATACAATTGAAATGCTATAATACAGTATAATACAATGTAAGTTTTAGTAAATTATTTTAAAAAACTATCTGATTATTTTAATATTTAACATAATTATTACTTCATAAGGAATGCTTGTACAGTAATATTTTGATAAAATGGAACACTTTATTATTCTTTTCAGAATTAAAACTCAAAAGATTAACAAAGCTCAAAAATTCATCTAGTATACTTGTTTTATATTAATAACAATAACAACCAAACACAATACAGTACATTCATAGTTTTATAAAACTACAAATATATTGTGCTGAATTTTTTAAAAAACAAGAATATCTATTTGATTTAGTTTTAGTTACAACTATATCAGAATAGCTTAATTTAACTTCATTAAAAATATAGTATTTTGAAAACTATGCATTTAAATTTTTCAGTGATTTATGGCCTATTCCAATATCCTTTATAACATCAAGACATCGTCAATGGAATCCAAATAATCTATTATGGATGATAACAGAAAATTGTATTCATTTNTAAAGCAATAGATTATTCAATTGAATTCATCTTTGTATTTAGTAAAGTTTATTTAAACATTTTTAGGTAAGTGTTATTAAACTATTTTAACTGCAGGTAAGTAATTATTAGTAAAAATGACATGAAATACACTGGTATCTCAGTACTCAAACTGTTCCCAACTCCAACAATTTGGTATTCGAACACAAATTCTGGGAAAAGATCACTCTGTACTTGACTGAACAAATGCGACCTTCTAGAACAAATTTTTGATTAATAACATATTTTTATTTTGTCATTCATAAAAGTTATGATAAAAATAAAAAATGAAGATGTTGCTGATATTTCTGGTGATCAACAAAAAAGCTCAAAACATGATGATACTTTGTAAAAAGAAAATGCCCTCATTTAACTAAAATTAATATTAATGTGTAATACAGTCCTTTTATTGTGATTGTTAATTATTGATTGGAAATAAATTATTGATTATTTGTTTATTAATAATATTATTAATAAACATACATCTCTTAGTAACTAATGAAAAAGAATAGTATACTTTTGCTAACTTCTGGAACCTAATCCTGTGTTTTGCATTACTCCTTTGTTTCGTATAGTACAAATTTGCATAACATGGCACTTTTTTAGAATGTAACTACTGTGTTATACGAGGGATACCTGTACTTAGGATTAGTTTTATTTGAAATTATATTACTAATGAATGTATTTTGATAATTAATCTTTAAATTAAATACAATTGAAATGCTATAATACAGTATAATACAATGTAAGTTTTAGTAAATTATTTTAAAAACTATCTGATTATTTTAATATTTAACATAATTATTACTTCATAAGGAATGCTTGTACAGTAATATTTTGATAAAATGGAACACTTTATTATTCTTTTCAGAATTAAAACTCAAAAGATTAACAAAGCTCAAAAATTCATCTAGTATACTTGTTTTATATTAATAACAATAACAACCAAACACAATACAGTACATTCATAGTTTTATAAAACTACAAATATATTGTGCTGAATTTTTTAAAAAACAAGAATATCTATTTGATTTAGTTTTAGTTACAACTATATCAGAATAGCTTAATTTAACTTCATTAAAAATATTGTATTTTGAAAACTATGCATTTAAATTTTTCAGTGATTTATGGCCTATTCCAATATCCTTTATAACATCAAGACATCGTCAATGGAATCCAAATAATCTATTATGGATGATAACAGAAAATTGTATTCATTTGTAACATAAAATTAGGTGAAACTTTTACATGAAAGATCTAATTTAACTTTTCTTAATTTCTCAAGTAATATTAGAAGATTTACCAGATAAAACTGAATGGATTTTGGTGAATGGAGATAGTATTGGATTTTATGCCGTTAATTATGATGATGAAAATTGGAAACTTTTAGCCATGCAACTTCATTATAATCATCTAGTCTGCATAACTTTTTTTAAACATTACATATAATAAATTTCTAAATTTAAATTATGATATTTTTTTCAGGTTTTTACAGCAAATCAAAGAATGAAAATAATTTCAGATTTCATATTTTTGGAAAGGTAAAACAAAAAATAAAAAAATGTTTTGGTGTTTAGAAAATAAATTTCTCACATTGAACTGAAATAATTTATCATAATATTATAATTCTACAGTTAATTAATATAACATAAAAGATGTATTTATAGATTAAAAAATTATTACCAGAAAATTATCATAATTTTAGATGTTTTTGATATTTTAATGACATTAGTTAACATAAAAATAACAAACTAAATAAATATAAAATATTTTTTTATTTAATTATTTATTATAATGAGTCCTACATGTCCCAAATAAGTCCCCAAATGTTTCTGGCTTATAAACTGAACAAGAGAATACCCAATCTATTTAGATTGGTATTCTCTTGTTCAGTTTATAAGCCAGTCTTTTTTACATTTGTATT